AGCAGTATCAGTGACGACCATGATATCCTGATATAGAATGATACAGAATATGATGGTAAACACCGGACAGACAATGATGGACAAGACAGCAGTATTATTGACGAGAAGGGATAACTAGCTAAAAACTAGTGTGAGCTGCGTCGGTGTTTCTAGTGAAAAAGTAATGATAAAAAGGACGATATATGGTAAACACTGAATAGACAATGATGGACAAGGCAGCAAAGGACATGAGTATCAGTGACGACCATGACATCCTGATGCAAGTGACGTCTAAGCAGCTCAATTTGAAGGACAAAACAAAAGAATTTGAATCTCAAGAGATTTGGAAACCTATTGTTATGTCATCCAAAATGAGCTGCGTTCCGACGTGCTTCAAAGGGTCTATAGAAGGAGATGCAATATAATGGTAAGGAATTACAGCCAGAATTGTATAATCAAGAGCTAATGACAAACTAGGAATATTATATCCCTTATATTAAGTACTTTACCTCAGACTTTTTTATCGGGCTGTATGTGTCACGCAAAGTAATACATAGACCGATCACTCCAGTTATGAAGATCTGTAAATCAATTGACAATGCGGGGACAAGTTAGATAAAGCTATTTTCTTTGCGGCATTATGTTTTGTCAGCAACGGGCAATCAGTTATTTAATAGCCGGTTTGTTATTGGCTGACTTTTGTGATTTTGCTTGCTGCTTTTCCTTCCACAATTATAGTTCTGACAAACAATTTTCCCTTTCGGGCCGCCATTAATTTTACAGAATCAAAGGTCGTTGATGCGCATGCTCATACCCAGTCATTTCGTTCCAGTCGATCCAACCAATTAAAATTTGGGATAAATTTGAGTCGAATTGAAAGAAACTATTAATGTGACGTTATAGCCGCCGTTTTGCGCATTTTAGTTTAGTTATGTGTGTTATCTAACATGGCACATCTTTTGTTATAATTTCCACTAGAAATACTGGCACACTTGTCGTACATGCGTGACATAATATTTTTAATATCCATGTAATATATCTGTGTCTTCAACAATGCGTTACAAAGTTGCGTTACCGGTACATACGATGATACGAAGGGACGGATCATCAGATTTGGGGGGGGGAGTAGGTTGGTCAAAAACCCCAAAAAAATTCGAGCACAGCATTAAAGAGTGGGGGGAAAATCGCCAGAAAAGTGCCAGAAAAAATTCTAAACTATGTCCAAAAAAAATTTCCTGCAAAGCCATAAGGTGTAAAAAAAATCCTGCACGAAATCAATTGCCCAATCCCCCTCCCCACTCAAACATTTAATGGTCCGTACCTAACTAAGGAGACAGACTAATGTCTGAGTGGCGGGCGTTCTCGCTATGGTTACAACCACTTTTTCTCAACAGTTTTCTTGCTATAGCTAAACATTTGCCTTTAAAAAGACCAATAAATAAACCATATTATACCTAGTGTTGTAGTAGCAGGAAGACCTTTATATATTTATACATATATATTTTTTCAAATGATCAATTTGGTTCTAAATTATTCATACTTTTAATATCTCTACGTTAAATCTTCAGTAGTAATTTCAATATATTTTACACGCAGCTTGCAGTAGAAATTGTGAGTTGTCCGTAGTTCGTTTGGAATTGGAATTGGTTTTCACGCGGCCACCACTCAAAAATATTAAAGGTGGCTGACTTATTATTGATGGCAGAAAATACAGTATAAATTTTAGGTGCAGCTTGCGCCGCGTATTATTGTAAACTGCTCGATAATTTAAGCTAAATTTTGGTCCCTTGAGGGCATTCAAGAATCAATTTAAATGTTGAATGTTTTAAAAAGCCATTCATATACGACTACATGTACATTTACCCATAACCGTGTGTTCTCATTTGCTAGTTCTTTCTTGAATTGTTTTTGTTTGTATATTTATTCGAATACAATTTTATTTTTTAAAAGTCTTAAATTCACAATTGATTGAACGTAAATTGGCCAAATTTAATGTGAATACTTCCAGGCATTTCTGCAATCACATTTCATGGATTAGGTAATGCTGCATGCAAATCAGCTTCTTCAGTTATAATCATTCAAAGTAACAAAATATTTATATTATTTTATCTATGCTTTTTAAAAATTAAAAACAGTAATACTTAATAATAGAATAATGTTAAGTAAAATATATTTAGATTAAAAGGTTTAGTCTTTAGTAAGAGTTGCATAAGAGGTTGCGACTTTCCTTGCAAACAGGTCTCGCCAGTATAAACTTATAATTGTTCTTGCTTCAAATTTCGTACAACTTATAAACTAAATAAAATTAGCAAATACTAAACTATCTGTCATCGTAGGCTTTATTCGTTTTTACGTAACCTTTTGTATCTACATTTTGGGTAGTGTTTTGCTATTTCCAATGTGTGGTTGGTTTTGCCATTAGAGAACTAAATGCGTACTCAAGGGAATGACATGATCTGAAAGAAGAAATACGACCAAGCAAGATAGATCCCATGCTGGCTTTATTAATTTATTTAACGGTAGTCTAAACACTGAAATATTAGATAAACGCGTGCATGTTCATACGCAAATGTTAGTCGGACTCACCCAAATGCCCATCCAAATGGCAAGACAATATCTTGCCGGAAAGCCACTCGTGTATCCAGTTAAATGGAACCTATCAGCAATACCTACTGCCACTATGAACAAGCCAAGGAGAATCTGAAGAACTCCCGACCATCTGATTCTCTTGTGGTGGAATAAACCTGCCATGGCTTCAAGCTGCTCGCAGACAATTGTCAAGGAACCAAGTGGAATCGTTAGGAACTTAAACGTAACGTAATCAATTTGCATGAGCAAATGAAAAGGGTGACGTCGTTGAAGTCAGACAGATAATGCGTACGCCTCGTGCAGGGAGGGTTTTTTTATCAGTGATTTTAGTTATAAGCAAGGTACGTAAAAAAGGAAGAACAACAAGGCAAGTTGGATCGTTAAAAATAAATCGGAGAAAGAAAAACAAAGAAAATTAAATAGACGACCTTTACCGAATTCGAATGAGCGACCACGAATGACAATGGATCCTATTCGAGGTTGGATTTAATATAGAGTAAATGGTAATTGAATAGTCCCTTTCGCGGTTCACAGCGCCATCTTGAATGGTAGCCGTGCCTTTRCATCGAAGCGAGACGAACGGTGAGCTTGTAATAATAGAGACCTTTTTCTTAACACCTTGGACAATTATGGAATTCACATGTCGCCGACGCTGGGAACTGTGAATGGGACTATTGTATGAAAATATTAAGTCCTAATCTTGAATCGGAGCCATCGTTTCCTGGTCACTCAAGCGAATTCGAGAAAGGTGTATTTTTGAGTCTGGAAGAGTTTCAAATTAAAAACTTTGATAAGCAACAATGATATAGTTGTTTTTAAGGAAACGATTATAAAAAATCATTTTAAAATGTATAGCGTAGTATATAGCGGTATAATGTCTGCTTTTTTCACTGTGAGTCCCATATTCATGGCTTGGGTCGCGGGTCGTGGGTTTGATTCCTGGGGACGACACATACGCATGCAGAAAAAAAGGCTGATTTCCTCAAAATGAAGTTTCATCAGTGGCTCGAGATTTTTCTGGCTTTTCTCAACTCCACCAAAATATTATTTAAAAGTCGTGTGCATAGCACATTAAATGTAGTGGTAGTGAGTGTGAAGTGTACAAGTGTACATAAATATTAATCAGAGGCTAGAGAGCTAGATCTGGTAGCAACCCTCCGCATCACAACTTAAAAGAACGATTTTTTGGATAAGGTTGACTTGCTAACCGTCTACTAGCACACCTGGAGGCTGTAGCCACAAAAACGGCTGATTATATTAGCAAGAGTATTTATTCCATATCAAAAATGTTCTATCAAACAAATTATGACACAATAAATCAGGAATTGGCTGGATGTTTTCGGCATATCAGAGGCAAGTTATCGTATAAATGTGTAAACGTTTAAGGCGCGATTACACGGAGAAATTTCTCTGTTGCATGGAGTGTTCCAGCGTGTAACCTACAGTGCAATTTGGAAAATGTTGCGAGACAAGTTGCAGCAATCGTTGCGAAAAGTAGAATTCGTTTCTACTTTTGGCAACGATTGCGTATCCTTTGCACCATGTAGACACTCTAGCAACGCTGTTGCTAGACAAGTTGCAGAGAAAATTGCCTCCGTGTAATCGAGCCTTTAGCATAGCTGAAAACTTCAAATCACTCAACATTTAACATAGGAACAAAAGATTGGTATTAATAAGATATTGAACACCAACGTAAGAGATGACAAACAGATAACCAGTGATAGGGTAAGTGGAACTGTGGAGTTATAAGTACAGTTTCGATAAGAAATGGAAGAACTTTGCAATCTAACGCAGGACCAAACTAGGATGATGAGAGCAGCCAATAAGGATATGATGGATAACAGGAAGAGTTTCCACTGGACCTGGAAAAAGATGTAATTATAAGAATGATTTTGATGCAATATGAATCTTTTTTTAATGGGTTGGTGGGTTGGTGGGTCGGTGGGTCGGTGGGTCGGTGGGTTGGAGGGTTGGAGGGTGAGTTGGAGGGTTGGTAGGTTGGTGGGTTGATAGGTTGGTGGGT